AATTCCCTAAAAGTGACCCGATCATGCTGATTTTCGAACTTGACCTGCGTATTATGAATATTCATCAGTTCTGTAAGATTCAAGTCAAAAGGTAAAATTGTTTTCCACTTATCGTGTTATCGGTGCTGCATATATGCTGAAAAAAGTGAAAAAAAAGCATTAATTCCCTAAAAGTGACCCGATCATGCTGATTTTCGAACTTGACCTGCGTATATTGAATATTCATCAGTTCTGCAAGTTTCAAGTCAAAAGGTAAAATGGTTTTCCACTTATCGTGTTATCGGTAAAAGTGCACGGCGACGGCGACGGCGACGACGGCGACGACAGCGACGACGGCGACGGCGACGACAGACGCAGATGATGGCTATATGTACAGACACATCTGTGTCTGTACATAAAAAGGAGCCTGCAGATTTTTCTCTACATTTTACGGCGTCGCAGTTTTAGTCCCAGTGCGATGATTCCAATCAGTTCCTGTTGCAACGTCGATTTTTTTTCGGAAGCCAAAAATTGGAACGGGCCATATATGGTAACATATTTGCTTGTCAACTATAAAAGATGTGAGCTGCCAAAACTACGCATTCCCCAAAACCTCACGGAAGGACCTATTGAATGGAAAAGTGATTTTTCGGAATATTTATTTTAGCTACTAGCACACTACCGCAACACACTTGTGAATAGTAATCTAATTCACCTCACCAAAATTTATTTCAAAAAGGGTCACAGGGAACGAGTAAAAATGCGTTTTATAAAGACCATAAACTTTCCTTAGGATAGAATCGACATCGGCCGTAAGAGCTTATGCGAACTGGCCCTAACAGGAAAACACGAAAGTTTACGTGCATCAAAATAAAACATCCCTTCAGATACTTCTGTTTTGTAATCAATCAAACTACAAATTACGGCTTAGGGATTTCCGCAGACTGTGAATGCACTAAGATTTCTTTCCATACCTCTGTAGTACTGACGCAAGCAAAAAACTCGACATGACATGAAAATAAATGAAAAGCTTCATCTGTCTTTACAGCTGTAATAACTTACTCAGGCCCAATACTTTCCACATTATGGATATCTGTTTTGCGTTACTTGGTTGTTTGAAAGTTTAATATTAATAGACTTTCTCTTATTATCAGTTCAAAATTGTTCGCTGCAGGGCTGCATTTCGAAAATTTATTTGACTGACAAATAACTATAAAGGTAGGTACATATATATGTAACACATATACCCCACCCATTTCTTGATAACCTGACTTCACCGGTGCACATACGGAGTATTATTAGTATTATTACACCCTTTGGTGTCAAATAACTGATTTCATTAAATAGTTTGGTAGAAATAGTCATTATAAGGAACTTTTTCCACATTCAGGCAAGTAATTCATTAAAGCGGTAGGCCTATATAAAAGAGGGAAATGAAGTTTCCAAATTATACACTGAATCGTTTTAGTGAAAGGCAATGAAAGCCGTGGGTGTGAACAGTGGCAGAAACAATGTCATTTGAGAGGAAAGCGTAGTTTAAATACAAAATAGACTACAAATGTTATCATTTGTCAGTTAGCCTAGTTTTTATGTCTGTAATGGTGTAAATTATTCAGATGTATACTGCATAGTAACAAGACAGCGTTCAATTCATGTTAGCTGGTCAAGTCTTAAAAGCAATCAGGCAAACTGTTATTGATAAGAGACGCGTACATGTGCGTCAAGAAGTAAGAGAGAACAAGAGTAGCAGCACCTTTTCTTGTCTTAATGTAACTTTACACGTATATAGGCATAGTTTACATTACCCATCAATATCAGTAGCAAGTTTTACATAACATTATTGAATACGTAACTCACTTATTTAACGCTATGTTAGGTATGATTTCTAAATGAAACCAATTCCAGTTCGGGGCACAAGTAACTTGTTAAGTTTACATATCAAAATTTGCATTGTGAAATTTACTTTTAAACAGCTTGAATAAAACAGACACAGCACCAACTTATTTTATCTTTACCTTACATTCCAATGTGAATTGATGCATTGATTTTAAAAAAACTTAGATCTATGGTTTGAATGGTTTTATGCCTCCTCCATCCCAAATTATCCCAAACATTTAAACCATCATTCGTACCAAGCATTCACATAGAACCTTTCTAATTGTCTGGTATTTTAAATGCCACGCGCGCGAGAGAGAGAGGAGGGGGAGGAGGATTTATACCCTGTATGTCATATGAATTAATGTTCTGCGTCACCCTATTTGAATGGTACGACTTTTGTTATATTCTGAATAGCTTTATATATCTAAGAAGTTGTAACAACTTCTTGATATATCCATGTGGTCGCCGACGCTTCAGTGCCTGATCACCCTACCTGTATGTCTACCAAACCGCATATTTGTTTCGCTTAAAAACTACAAGGAAGTTCTGAATGGCGCAGATTGAATATCGGCTTAATCAAATCACTTTATTTATATGAGACTATGTATGTTCTTGCGCACCAGCAGCAAGCCTCTCATCAGCGACCATTTAACTGTATTAAATACTTGCTTAATCAGCCTTCTACTGGAGCTGCAGACAAATCTGAACTAACACCGACAAGCTCTGGCCGATGCTTGGACTGCTACCCCCGACTTAACATTGTGATAAACCTGTCAGAAGGAATGCCATGTCTCCTGAAAGGCCTGGTGACAGCCAGAAGAGGTCGCACGTGCTACTGACCGTTTTTGTGACTAGACTTTGATACGTTGTCATTTGTAGGGCATATCATTCTCCAACAGTTTTTTTCACATTTGTATCATCAGCATTTGATGATCAACCTTAAATCTGTTTCTGTAACAAATTTGTACTTTTAAAAGGAAACAAAAGATTTACTAAAAATCTGCACATACTATTATCCGTCCAACTGTAAATGAACAAAAGGGAAAAACATTTTCAATTTTCAAAGCCTTTATTCCAAATATTTTTTCTAAAACTATTTCACAGTACTTGTTTTTAGCACCTCCACCAAGCTTTTTTAAATAAAGATTACTTCCGACAATAGCCATTTGATTTCAGATAAATTTACTTTACAAATCATGTTTCTGGTGTCCAAAAGAATAAGATTTACCTTTATGATAGTAGTTTTTCTCCAAAGAAGGATATGACAATATTTGATCAAAACTGTCCTGTGAATGATGTTCCTGGTATTTCTGCACCAAATAACTTTAGCGAGTTGAAAACAGCAAAATGATTTGATAAACACTCACTGCTTTCAATAAAAAATTGCAAAATAAAATGATATGTCTGAAAGGTAAATTTTATCTGACAGCAGTATGGAAATACCCTATGTACCATGCTGTGCATCTTTCAAATGCAGAAAGCCTTTACAGATTGCCGACAATATCTTGATCCCTGTGGTTCTGTGAGCCTTTCACATTTCCTTAACTATTTTGCAGCTCCCATATGCCTGTGTGTATAACTGGTTTCAATATATAAATACTGCATGGGGCAGAGAGGATTCATGATTGGCCTCATCAGCTGTTATATCTCTTTTTAATGTAGGACTATTTTTCTGAAAGTAAATAAAGAAAATATTTCCTAAAACATTAGCAAACAAAATGTAGTTTTTTGTACAAGGAAACTATATATAACAAGCAATGAAGATATTTATATAAACATGTATGTAATTAACTAGTTTGTTTATAATTCAAGGAATAAATATATTTTAAAAGTGAAATAGTATAGTTGCAATTTCAAAATCAATCAGGGGACACTGAAACTCAATTTTATAACAGATATACTCTTATAACAGGTGTTCAAGTATCAATAAATGAAAACCAATTGAATGAAAGAAAGTAGATGAATACAAGGAGTCTGAAAAAGGAACTGACAACTGGTCATTTTACCAAATATGAGTCACATCATTGATGCACATATTTTGTGTAATATTTGCATAATTTTGAGTTGCCCCATCATTTTTGTTATTTGAACTATAAAACCCTCAAATATGGAAAGAAATCAATATTAATTAAAAAGTGACATAAACTACTTTGGAAATATTACACACGGCAAAATCACTTGTACATGTATATGACTCAAATGTGGAATGACACCCCTCTTTTTTGTCTTCATATTACACAAACAGCAACATGATATTGTGGTTCAAGTCATTGCATCTACTGTCCACTCACTTCCCATGTGAGAGAGTCTAATTAATATTAACAAAATCCAAACCACTTCACTCGTCTGGTTAACAGATCAGTTCTTGGAAAAATCCCTATGGCAACACAATACTAATATAAACATGCATTTAAAGAAACTCAAATTTAATGCAGTTAAATCCAAACAGATATGGAATCTGTACCTGCATTGTTTTTGTGCCTGATCTAGGATCTTGATATTGTCATATTTCATATCTCTTGTCACAGTTCTGTCAACAGCTCTGCAATTTGCACACATTGGCATTTGCTTCAATTAATAAAACTACCAGTAAGCCCCTAGGAAACAATGCAATTTCCTTCTCAAACTGATTGCTACAGGAATATCCCCACCTAAATGTACTGTTTATCAAAAGGCCAAGAAACCATAAGCCTGTAATTCAACTATCAGTACAATTGGTACATGGAGCATTTTCAACTTGCCAATTAAAGATTCTAGCATGTGTGTCATCTTTTTTAATGTGTCTCATTTGACCTTTCAAATACCTCTTGCTCCTTAAGGATACAATTACATATTAAGTTTTTGTATCAGAAAAAGGCCATGCACTTCAAGCAGACAAGAATTTGTCTAAGGCTGGTCTGGATCAATACATTTGACCTACCACACATTTTACCACCCAATACTTCTCTTTTACAAATTTTATACAAATCAAATGGCAAAGTTCATATCTTCATTACAATGACTTTCTTAACTCACAGTTCAAGAGTCATGATTCTATCAACCAAATTATTAATTGTATGTTTTCTAGTGCTAGTCTTTTCCAATCATTACTTAATTTACTGGTTTGTTGTTTTATAAAAGTACAATTTTAAGTACTATTCTTAAATAAGAACCACTTTCATGCACTGCTTTTATCAGCATATCCGACAAATAAGGAAAAACAGTTTGGTACAGGAAATATTTCTGTTCCTAAAAAGCAAAAAACATGCAATAACTTATACATGTACAGATTATTAAAGAAGAAAACTGATATTTACGTAGTATGATAAAAGCATCAGCAACAATATTTTTCAGTCAATAATAACAGATATACCAAATCTCCTCACTAAGAAAATTTTTTCATTTTCAATATGCATTCCCTGCTGAACTGTATCTACAAAACCCACCTTAGTCTATTAGTGTTAGGTAAGAAGTATTGAAAGAAGTGATATAATCTATCTGCAGGAAACAGCAGAAAATGAAATGAAAACACAGCACCGTCATTATAAATTTTTCGATTTCCCAAGAAAAGATGAGAATATTGCAATAGAAATTAATTGCTTCAAACTCTGGCATCTGAGAGTTAAGGTCATGGCAATAACAATTTACAAGTCATATCTTATAGATAACAGATATACTTGTCTTACCCTGTACTATTACTCAAATGGAGGTGAATGATCTGTTGAAATAATTCTTAGAGCCCACTTGGAAGATGCAGCAACATGTTGTACAGTAATGAGGAAAATATGCAATTGGTGCAGAGAGTGTGCCTTTATGTGGTTGATAACAGAGCTTAAGAAAATCTTAATAAACTGTGGAAAAGAGCACATCCTCAGCAAAAGGGGAAATTCAGTGATTGTGTCTGCCTGACAGTGCATTATCTGCACTGTTACTACCATGTGACCTGGTAATATATTCTTAAAAGAGGTAAAAGCTGCAGTCTACTTTTGATAAAACTGTCAGAATAAGCATTTGAGAGAGCAAAAGAGAGAGAGAGAGAGAGAGAGAGAGAGAGAGAGAGGGGATATATGTTTGGATACTTTTGTGGCAGATTCACAAATTTACCCTAAGTTGAGTGGATACAGAAAGCAAATTTATTGATGTGAATTGATCACAAAAAGCTGAAAATAATTGATAGATAAAACTGTTGGGCAAAAGGTGTTTTGAATACAAGAGTCCCTTTTCTATAGTAGTGATTTTCAGAGTATTGAACAAGCCACCTCAATATGTAAGTTACAGTTAACAGTACAATCCCGCTGAGCACATGAATGGACAAATGCTGATAACAGATATCATAGTCATTATCTTTCTGAGGCTCCCTAGCTACCCTCCACAGACCACTGGTGTAGGTGGGGTACAAAATGCTAAAGTTTTGTAAAGCTCAGGAGAGAAAGTTGTTTCCATGCACAATGAATGTCATCATCAATGGCTGTGAAAGTCCAATTTTTTTCTTGCAGATATTGACTTACTGTACACTAGAGGTCAGTATTTTTTTATTTGTGCCTAGTAAACCTGAGATTTATAAGTAAAATTGAAACCCAAAATCATGTTCTGAATAACTGCATATTTTGAAACATCTATTTTCACAATAAGTTACATGTATGAATTTGGAGTGGAAAAAATGAAGCAATCTTTAGATTCTGAAGAAATTGAGTACAAATTTAGTAAAACTGACAGCTGAGTAAAATAAGGGACAGATATGGTAGATATTGGGGCAATGTTAGAATTGTCTGTTAACTTGGAAAATGGTAGACAAAAGCAGTGAAAGTACTTTTTCTATGGTTGTTTGAACTTTGGGTTCAATTTCTACAAAACCCTATGGGAAATTGCATTGTTTTTGCACATTTTCAATTTTCTTCACAAATGAAGTGTTTGCATACCTCCTTAAACATAGACTTCAGTGTATATGACATAGACAGGAAGTGATGGTACCAGTGTGAATATAATTGCTATGATAACATGTTTCAGGGGGAAAACACATTTTTCCTCATTTTCTTAATACGTTTTCCAAGTTTTCTTCACACATGAAACATTTTCATTGTCTCCGCAACCTAAACTGGTTCTTCATGCAGTATATCTAACAAACATACATTGTTGGAAAGTGATGAGTTCCCATGTAAGTTTTGTTACTAAAGAAAATATGTATTTAGGGAAAAAAGTTCATGTTTAAAATTTTGTTTTCTAAGTTTTTATCGCTTATGAAGCATTTTCATTATCCACACTCCTCTCCAATGGAGAGATGTGCAAAACTGATGCACAGTGGAGCACAAGAGAAAGGCTTTGATAACTTGCATTAAACACAAATTAGACCCCCTATCAATGAAATTAGTAATCTAACAAGTCTAGCATCAACTGTTTTTTCAAAACATGCTACCAGATATCCGAACACAATTCAATTTCATGCCTTACTGGGGAAAAGATCTAACCTCACGATTTAATTTGTAGGTAAATAGGCATGCCAATGGGCACAAATGGATTCCTTATTTGATTTTTCAGTCATTCTGATATCTTCAAATTTCTGTAACCTGTACTAAAACCCTTAAAAAAAAGAATATGATATTTTTCTAAAACATGCAAATATATATATATATATATATATATATATATATATATATATATATATATATATATATATATACACACAACTAAAAGGCCATACCAACCTCATTTAAAAGCAATCAATATCATTTTACCATATAACTGACTTGACACTTCAATAAATCATGGGTATGACCTAGAAACAATATTTGATACATAGGATGAAACTGACTAGAAAATCATTTTTTCAAAACTATAGGTACATCATCACATGAGAACCATGTTGATTACACACAGAAAGAGGATAGAGAAATAAAATAACACATCTGAGGTGAAGGCCACCATCCAAACCTTTAACCTGGAATACAATTATGGCATTCTCAAAGGGAATAATCTTGGCAAACAATGTAAATGAATGTGTACTAATGAATTCTAAGAAAACTGGACTCAAGCCAAAACAACTGGATGTACAAGCGTGAACAACATTAAATGAAAGTACACAAGGCACTTTTGTTATGTTGTATACATTTGTTTCTGGTACTCCAGTAAATTGAATACCAGGAAGGAACAGAGAGAAATCTTCATATACCGGTATTCTCTTGACATAATCAATGTAAAATTAACTAACATATTAAACATATGTATACCACATCTACATAAATTTGGTCAAATGAACCATAGGCTCAAAAGTGTATTCTAACAATGTACCAATTTCTGTAAGAAAATGAAATGTTCACACTTCACTGTTACACTTACAAAGGTGTCCTTTGCATGAACTCAATCATTACTGCTTCATTAATGTTACTGACAGGGTTTATGATCAACAAAATACTAAAAATGATGTTTTTCATGCATCTAATTATTCAATAATGCATCTACCATTTTGCTAATTAAAAACCATAAAAATTCCCTTGAAAATATTAAATATCAGTGTTAATATTTCTCAACGCTAAGCATAAGCATAATTATAATATAAGTACCTTGGAGCTTTTATCATCAATTTAATTTTGAGGTGAGATAGCAATCTGTGTGAGACATAAAATTGGGACAGAAGACGACAAGTGTCTGGGCTTCATTCCTGTGCAGTCATTTTGGTTTAAATGTTTCTGCCTAGGAGTTATGAGCCCCTAATAACAATGATTCATTGAACAAAGGCATTTTCACCTTTTTAACGATAACATCTGAACTATAGCTTTTAAGAAAAATTGCTGGTAGAGTTTTGATGTACTCAATGATGTTATTAAATTGGCATTGGAATGGTGTTGAACTTTGTGGATGCTCAGTTAAAAGAGAAATTTGAGAAACTGATTTTGTGATTTATACACCAATTATAACCGAATCATTGGTAAAATGAAATTTGTGTGATGGCAAGGCATTGAGACTGTCACAGTAATTTAGGAGTTTTTGTCTAACCTTGTCTGCAACCTTAAGCCATAAGAGAGAATATTCATTTATTTCCACCAGTGATACTACCTTGTATTTCACGATTCACACACAACTTAAAAAAGCTTTGATTAGACTCTTGGCCCCTTTATAATGTACTTAGAAAAGACCAAATAATTGTTGCTCAACTGTCATAAGTAGATATTTACAATGGATCAATTTTCTGTTGCCAGTACATGGTATTTATTATCATGCTGAAAGCAGAGTATCTCACTTTCAAAAATATTTATCATTTTCCTGCATACTGCTACAAAGACTTTCATTTTGATCTAAGATTTCCATGTATATTCTCTTTCTGATAAATCAAATTCATTTTGATTTCTATGTTTGGAATCAGTAGATTAAGTTATCAATCAGAGATCATGTGAGAGTAATCTTTTAGCATTTGAACAACCAGCTGCATGGTGAAACCTGGGTTCATCCTTGAAGGTATCACATCAAAATTAACACTTTGGGGAATTTGAAAAGAGTTGAACATATTGATAAATTAAATATATTGTAAAAGGTGAAATCAATAAGCAATACCTAAAAGTACACTTAGAGAAAAAATTTACGAAACAAAGTAAACATAACAAAACAAAAATACACTAAGTACATACTGAAAAATGTGTCCATGAACACAGTCAGGTCCACATATGGTATCTGATTGCAGGACACCCTCTTGTTGAAATCCCCCTGGTACAGTTTCCTGAATAATGTCTGAGGGATGCCGGCCTTGGAGGCAGCGCTGAGGAACACAGGGAAAGACAAAGATCAATTTTTATGATCATCAAGATTCTACAAAATGGATTCTTTTAGTAAAAAGCTAAGAAGTGTTAAAAAAGTTAAAAAAGAGAGAAAAAAAAGATGTGCATAACCTTCACATTTACCTCATTATCCAAATTTAACGTATGGTTTAGTACATAGCAAGAATCTTTTGTGTATAACAACTTCCTTGCCAAAACAAAATCTTTTCTGTATGTGCAGAAAGCTTAATTCGAACTGATACTGTAACAAATGCTCTCTGTGAATTTTTCATTTCAATATGAAAGCTTGTGCTTGTGGCTAAATGTGAACATTCACTACAATAATTACAGCAGTACTCTGTATATATAGAAATCTGTTTAGTATAAAAGTATATATATACATGTATATATGTGTGTGTGTGTGTGTGTGTGTGCACACGTGCATCACAAGTTATACAGATATATAACAAGTTAAGACATATAAGAAAAAATATCAACAAAAGCTTGCAACCATATAATATTCAACTTGTTAGAAAAAGCATTAGACTTACGGTTTATGGAAATGTTGGCGAGGTTTATAGAAATTATAATTTCTTCCATAAGGTTTGTGGTAAAAGTCACCTTCATCAAATAGTGGACGCCTGGGAGGGGCATATATTTATTCATATAAATATAATAAATAAACATAATATGGAATAAATGGTGATTAATAATATGAAGTCAGTAAGGTCAGACATTTTTGTTAACTGTTTTACATTAGTATGATTGCAATGTCTACAATCTAAATGAAAATAAAAAAATCTCAAAAGGACAAATTTTAATCATCATTTATATGTGATAATAAAACATAAATTTTAAACATAATTTCAACATAATTCCGCTGTTAGCAGCAATCAAATTTGGGATTCCAGTATAATTACCAATGAAAAGTATTGTAGACCAGTAAAACAGTTAACAAAAAAGGGCAGATTGACAAGTTAACACCAAAGGTATAATTAAAATTTGTTAATGGATAAAGCAAGTACTTAACTGACCAAAACAAATGCTTTAGGTATATCAGTGAAGCATTAAAACAGAATAGAGTTAGAGGTTCTGTCAGGCAGAGAACCCTCATCATTCCTTACTACCATGTAATAAAAGGGTCAATAACTCACAGAATGCATTGTCATTTCCAACATGAATAACAACAAGCATATGTCAAAAATAAGATAAAAAGATAATTAATTTACCAGCAGTTTTTGGTTTTTGCATAAACATTGATGCCAAATTTTTAAAAAATGCGAGGTTGACACAAGAGGTTTGGCTCAGGAAGAATCCAATTATTGTAGTTGACACAACAGCATGTATTTCCATGTAAATACAAGAACACAAATAGTCCTAGACACCTCAAGATGAATGTATACTTGTACATATGTCTTTGAAGTTTAAAGGAAGCAATGCACACAAGCTTCCGCACTTTCCATTTAGAATTTGAACTTGAACAAATGTATAAAAAAAACATGGAAACCTGGAAATCTGAAGTAGTGCAACAAGTTGACAGTCAACATTTCTTTAAAATTAGGCACTGTGTTATCACTAGATTGGGATTCTCCATAATTTAAAACAAGTGCAACTTCTGTAACCCTTTTACAAACACTAATATAAGATACTCGCCCATTATGCGTGATGTCTTACATGGAAAGACAATATAGCAAAAACTTTAAGGGCAACTTCAAATTCAGATGACTGAATACGCCTTGTTGAGGTTGAAATGTTAGACATGGACATAGACATAGGTGTGAATGTGGAGGGATTCTAAGCAAATCTGCAGAACCTCCAGCTCTACTACCACAATTACTCAAAAATCAAAAATACAATATATGTTCATCAATTTTCCCATAATCTCCAATGTACTAGTATACCTTATCCAAAGATGTTGAGAAAAATACTATAAACATGTACATATATAAACCCATTTTTGAGTTTAAAATTCTAACTGTCACAACAATAATTCACCATTTTCCACCTCCATCTCAATGGAGATTAAAGAGATAAACTCAAAAATTAGAAACTTAGAACTTAAAAACAGGCCTATAGATCAAATATTTGTTAGTGATATTGGATATAGTATGTTCATTGGTGACTAAGAGAAGGGTGTTACATTTTCAAGAGAAAAAATCATTCTTTTTGCTATATAAAGGTTAAACCATGTTGCATGCCTTTATAGATGAACACCAAAAATGAAATGAATCGCACATTTTCAAATAAAAGCAATTTCAGCAAATTTTAAAAATCAATGGACTATATTGAAATCAATATGTTTTGACATTTCTCAAATAAAGACAGGATAGAGAAAATTAATTTACATATGAGTATATCTCTCTGACATTTACATGTAAATGTCAGAACTAGCTGCAATGTATATGATAGTATTTCCTAACAAGCATCTTTTCATCCAGAAACTTCATATCAAAACTAGGTGCATGTCTTATAATCAAAACCAGATATCAAACATGCAGAGCCACATCTTATGAAACTTTTAAATGATCTCAGTTTGTGATTTTTTTTTTGAAAATGGGAAAAGGCATGTAAAGGCTGTATCCTTATATCAGGGATGAGATTTTTTGACTCCCATAAATTCGGAAATCTGCCGATAGTCGGAAAATCTTTTTACTGTTGCAAGCACCAATACCAGCCCAAATAATCAGAAATCTGCCGAGAGTTGGAAAAATCTCATCCCTATGCAAAATACTCGGAAGGCCATATGGCTGCATATGAGATATTTTACTTACTCAACATCAAAGTTTTCAAAAGCAGCCTTGAAGGGCTGAAGTAAGATGAAGGGCTGGATGGTGTCAATGTTGTCCAAATTATCACAAACCACCCTAGCAAGAGATATTTTTCTGATCTCCTGAAGCTGTGCTGAAAAAAGCAGATTTGTATAATAAGTAAGAGGATTATATAATGAATATTACAATTCCCAAAATGATCCTAGATGCAATAAGGAGTTTTATGAAAGACAACCAGCATCACAAAAGAAATAAAGTACATAACTGCATTTTTCAGAATATAAAAAATAAAAAACACCTTTTTGTTTTCAATATTCTAGAGTCAGAGACAATATCCATTCCACTAAAAATAAAACTAATTTCGACATGATAATGGTAACATGTGTCAATAGTTTTCATATTATGCTTAGTTACCTGGGGTAAATCCTTCTGCATTTGGGTTTTCATACCAAAACCTATCCCCATCTCTTACATTTTTGAAGGTTCTAGCAATGATACAAGCAAAGGTTGGACCAACGATGCCTCCAGGTACAGAAGTCTCCAGGATGCCACCAACAAAAAGGTCCACATCATCTGGGTGCCTGAAATCAGTGTTTACCATTTAATTAATTTTCCTCATGAAGATTGGTTTTAAGTAGTCCCTGTTAAATTGTATATATCATAAAAGTACTTCTATGTATTAATTTAGCTACTACATGTGTATAGGTACATGTAGGCTGATCTTTATGAAGTTTGTGCTTATTCTAAATCTGAAGGCCACAGGCCTTCAGAAAAAAAGTGCATATAAAAGTACAAGGCAAGATATTAGATTAACCACTGATCATTATAATCATTCTGTATTTGTTTCTGATACCATACTGATGAAAATATAAAATGCAAATTAACCTACTGCTAATTAGCATCATTAAATCAGTTTACTTGTACAGTAAAGATGACATATGTCTAAACTGCAGATTTGTATTAACAAATGAATTTAGGGTACTTACTTATACAGTTTCTTTAATTCTTGAATCACGCTGGCATCAGCAAAATCTGAGGTAAAGTCTTCAAAGCTATGAGCATATCTGAGACCGCAGAACTTTCTGTAGAAATTGTAACCTAGAATGACATCATTCCAGTACACTGTGTTAGTATATTTAATTGGTACAATGTAACTGTCACATGTCATCACTCAGTTTTAAAATAATCACAAGATACCAGTGAATGCAAATCCTCCTCTTAACGTAGATTACTCAACTCCAGATAACATTGAGAGAGAGAGAGAGAGAGAGAGAGGGAGAGAGAGGGATGAATGAATACCTGGTATCCCATGATCTCTGCCTCTCTGTATATTTAAGGCTGTTAGATCCATGCCCAGTCCAAAAGGTGGTGTCTCAGCAAAAAGATGTCTGGTGACTTGTTTAGTGAAGAATCTGTCATAAGTCTGTGCTGGCATGTCACACATCCCAGTAATAATGGAATCAACACCACCACGGTAGCTATCATAGATATGAACGGGACGCCTGAAAGCCTAATAAAATATTAAGCACATGTTTAGATATTTCTAGATTTGAATATCCTTTTATTAAGCTGAACAAATTTAATTGCCAATGACCTAGAATCAAAAAACCCTAAGGCAAACAGGTTATAATTATGCCCTTAACATGCATGGATAATCAAAATTTGTGTCTAGATAAGAATACATATAAATTTCAAATACTTCGTATGTTTTAAAAGAAAATCAACTTTTTTTATGAAGAAGAAGTGCCCCATTACTTGCATAAACAATTGCGACCCTTGCAAAACCAATTTACCCCATTCCTTAAAGTCAAACTTGACTCTTATTTAAAAATAGATATAAATATAAGTAAAATCAAGGATTACTTTTTCATTTATGATTACAAATGACAAACAGTTTTCCACATATAGGTTAAGAGTTGACAATGTGTAGTTCAATATTATAGTCAGCATGTCATCAGTGACCACTTCCTACAAGTGGCTGCATGATTTTTCAACTCAACGTGGACAGGAGAACTCAGGGTTAGAAGTATTTTTACTCTTTCTGTTAGGCATGACTACATGCATGCAAAATTGTTCTAGGAAAGTGAAAGGAGGGCAGTCATGTCCCTTACATCAGTGAAGCTGCTGGAACAGTCTTTGGTGATCACTTACACTACTCAGCATGATCCTGTCTGTGATGGAGTGGTCCCTGTTGGCCCTTGGGAGGATGTCCTGGATCAGAGTGTGACCAAAACGGAAAGCAGCTGTGGCAAATGCATTTGGTATGCCTGGGTCTACTGCAGGATTATAACCTAAAATGATAATTGGACAAAGACTGAGTATCCTTAATGTATTGAGAAAATCTCTGAAATGATTGGTTTAAAGATATCAGTTTTTTTTTTTATTTTATTGTGCAGATATCTTTTTAAAACAATATTTCAATATAGACAAGGTATGTTCTTCCTTACATATTTTTGTTATTCTTTTCAGATCTACCACATATTATTCTTACAATAGACTGATTTTTTCTGTCACAGTAAGTTGTCTAAAATACCTACCTCCATAATACCCAGTATCTTGCAACTCCAAGCCTTCTCTTCTGATAACATCTTTCCCCAGAATCACTGGTAATAACTCATTGAAAATGATATGCTGATTCATAGCCCCAATAATCCTCCTGGTTTCCTGGAAGAGCTTCTCTCCTCCCCAGTGGGGATTCATGGTGAAGAGCATGTCCTCTATGTGGTTGTGCTCACGTACCCAGATGGTGTGCATGGCAGTTAGGGCAGCTTGCTCATTTACACGCTCATCACCTTGAAAGCAAAATATTTATAACTTTCACATTCATCATTTTGCTCTTTGCATGACAAAATCAGATCGGCATGGAATAAATGGGATAACTGATTCCAATGAGTTAATTTTAGAAAATTCATGTAGATTTTTAAATATTGATTAAAAGTATTGAATCTAAGTGTACAATAAAGGAAAGTAACACTGAGATAGTTGTGCTGTTTCAATATTTACATATTTCTTCCAGTTGGAAAGTCATCTCTAAAAGAATCTTTATGATTTTTTTTTTCAAATTGCAAATGACAAACAAATTGCAAATTGTGTCCTTCACCTGCCATAAAACATTTAATAGTTGAATTCACATCTCTGCAGAGGTCCACATCATCTTTTGGGAGAAGCCACTTGTAAGAGGCTCCATGTGGGTGAGGGGTCAGCTTCATTCGCCCACGTCCTATGAAAAACAAAGCAAAAAGATACAAAAGTCTAAAGAAACAAAATAGAAGGACACAGGTTACATTTTTATGAAATCAAATGTTGAAATTAATCCTTGCATTTTCTATAATAAGCAAATAAATAAGCTTTGAATTGTCTTTTAAATGTCTTACTTGGATCAGAAAATTCTCTTATAGAATCAGATTCTTCCTTGCTGCTCCCATAGACCTGTGAAGCATCTATCCAAGATGTAATCTGGTTTAACTGTTCCCTAAATCCTTTACAATATAAAGACAGAGAAGTAATAAGTCATGATCCACACATGCATAAATGAAAGAATGCATGCATGCACACACTCATGCATGCACACACACACATTGATCATTGGTGTTTTTTTTAATTTTACGAAACAACTGAAGGCACAATTATTTCTTAAACAATGGTTTAATTTGTGATATCAGTTGTAGTATATAGCTCTTATACAAATGGTATACATAAAGCTATACATTCCAAATATTAACTTAAAGGCAAATTGAAAGGAAGAACTAATCCATGACAAGGATTTTAGACCAATGAAGCAATAAATGGTGGTGCACATTTAAATATCTAGAAACAATAAAATCATAATCCATTGAATCTTCATGTTACCAGAAATGTATCATATAATACATACGGTAGAATCATGTAATTAAACCTAATTACCAAAGCCACACTCCAAGGCTGGCACCTCCTGTGTTCGCACAAACTTTAGGCACCTCTTATTACCAAAGTCTGGGTCACCTGCTGGAATCTTTATAGGTACACAAGCTTCCAGTCCTTTCTGTCCTGTTTCACATCCATCAGAACCACACTTAACTTCTTCCATCTTCCCCAACCCTTTGAAATATAGTTTTAGTTAATCATCTTTTGCATTCCTTATTAGTATACAATTATTTTGTAATGTTGAATGATTGTATTTAAGTATATTGTTGCTTAATTTGTAAAATACATAACTGTGATTTAATTGATAACCATACCACATGAATGTGACAATTTTTTATCACAATTAATCAGTAATCCTAAAAGTCATCAATTAATTCTCTCTCTCTCTCTCTCTCTCTCTCTCTCTCTCTCTCTCTCTCTCTCTGATATCACACTAAAATACAATTTTCACTGGTAACAGACTGATTGGTTTACAAACCAATGTTGAGTTAAAATAATCAAACAGTTTGCCAAATTGAAATTCAAAATACTGAAGTGATTTTTTTCCCAAAGCAATGAAAAGATTATGTGCACTATGCTAGAATTGCATTTCATAAACAAATAAAAGGAAAATTAAGTAAGAAAGGTCTATAGAAAAATTGCAGTAGACAAAAGTTCAAAATCTTGGATTGATTTACTTGGGTAGTCATCACTTTCTGTCCATATATAATGATATCCATGTTTAAAGGTGTATGGAGTGTGAAAACAGTTTTTTCTGTGAAGCAAAATGTCTGTGCAAAAACAAATTGAATGCAATTTCCATTAGTTTTTGAGATACTGTAATAAGGTACTTTTGCCTTTGAGAAGTGAAAATTTAATTTTTAATTACCTAACAAGGAGATAATACTGTTAACTATGTTAAGATTTAAAAAAGAAACTGTATCAGGTGGAAAGAGCATGAGGATATTAGCTTATATTAAGCAATCTACTTACCACTTGCTTCTACTGATATTTTGGTTGCAGCTGAGCGGCTCAAGTCATGGTCAACAAACTGTCCAAAGGTCATTACCATCAAGGTATTGATATTACTGGGTCTGTTTATATCCTGGAACAGACGGAGGCTCACTTCACGTCCACTTGGCAGTTCCTGCCCATTCTTGGCTCTTCTCAGGGTATCAACACCTGTAAGGGTATGGATATAAGATTATTTTTATTCACACACCTTTAAGAGCAATGCTTAGTATATTACTTTTAAAGATGGCAGATAATATATTCTTTGTTTGATTTTATAAAGATTCAATTCCTATAATAATATCTTCTGATCTCATCAAAATTTCTTAATTTTAGTAAAACATGTAAATATTTTATTATCCAGTTTTTACACCGAATTACATGTACATTTATGACCTTAAGATTGCATGCAGACACTTAGTAGCTAAGAAGACATCATGGTTTTCTTTGACAAAACAAATTAACGCTCAATGCCTTTAACCTTAAAAAAAAAAAACAGTACATTGCATGACATAAACTGTTAACTTGCCATCTCCATACTGTGGAGCCACCAGCCTAGCATGAGGTATCATAGCGCGGCCATAACCTGGGTACTGAGGGTTGTTACAGCACCCATCAAATGACCTGTAACGGTACTGGTCATCACACTGGAAGTTCTTGGGGTATGGACACACATCCCTACTTGGTCTGGATAATGGGGTGTCAGGAAGGTGGACATTGGGGTTGGGTGGGATTGGGCTGGGGATCCTTGTCATCACATCTAATATTTGGCTTCTGTCAATGTGGAACCTATTGGTACAGTGAAAGGTTATATTTTTTAGCTATCAGCTGGGCTTATTCCTTGAATACATGCATTACTACACGTTCAGCATATACTAATTGTGCATCTTCTTCTTAAGAAGTGTAGGTAATTGATGAAAACCATAATTATATAACTGATTCAGAAATAATTTGCTATCTCAATCAGGTAACAGAGACTTTCTGATCAATGGATAACAATGTTTTGTATTATCAAGTCATCCTTCATTTTTAGCCTTTAAATAGCTTTTAATTCATGGAGAACAAAAAGCAAAAATAATCATTTGATCCAATCAACATATGTTCAAACCATCACCTCTCCTTGATAATCCTGCATGTTTGTAGCAGAATGTCAGCCACAAAAGACAACTGTTTCACATATGGTTTGGCATTGCTGAAGGCAGACACATACTGGTAAGACTTGGAATCCACAAATCCTGAGAGATTTAAGAAAAAATCGTAATCAATCAATATTTTTAAATTAGATGTTAAATGTTGTCACTCTGATTAGCCCTATTCTCAAAGAGACATGATCTTAATTTGGCACTGACCCTTTTTGCTAGGTGTTTAATGGTGATGTGCTAGTGGAATAAGATCAACAAAATTACTAGACCTTATGATCTGAACATAAGATGGATATGACAAAAAACATAGCCATATTCATTAAAATACAATTACCTCTTCCTGACCTAACCCTCTCGGCCTCATCTGCCAGTTTACTGTCCAAGTATAGTCTGGACTCCCTGGCAGCAGCATCCAATTGCCTCTGGGCTTCTGACACCAACTCTGTGGAAAGAAGGTTGTTGTTGAGTTACATTTGGATTATTTGTTATGTAGAAGTAGCATGTTATTACATTAGTAAATAAACCATCCAGAACAAATAAGGATTAGTAACTTAATTGACTATAACTTTAAAATGGAGTCAAAGCCTTTAGTAAAATAATAAAAAAAAACCTTAAACTTCTGTTACGAGTTATTACCATGATACCTCTTGTTCCAATCAAAAATTACAAAATTTACAGTCTTAAAATGATGCCCTCCCCATTACGAAACAGTGAACACCCATTTTTGCCAGCTAAATGTCAAAACACAAACTCAAAAAAAGTTGCTTTAGGCAACAGAAACCTAGACAGCAGCATTGAGAGACATGGGGGAAGTCCAATTGTATGTCTTAACAAAATCATCTTACTTCAATATACTCTGTTTGTCAATGGAACCTGAAAAAGGTTTTTTGGTTCTTAGTGGCTTAAGATCTGAAGACAAATAGTGCGTTTAATGTAAATTCCTTTCTGTGACTAACCCTATTTTCATGCACAACATGTATATAATGCTACTGTACAGTGTATCATGGTTAAGCTATACCTTCACCATTAAACAAAAGATGAATGGGTCTCCCAAAATCTATCAGTGGCCCCACAAAGTCTGGGTGAGGTGGGGGTCCAAAAGGAGGTGTCACAGGTAGATTGAACATATCCTTCAACACAGGTATACTGGGTGGATTATATTGGTCTTGACCACCAAAACCACCTTTCAGATTTTCAGGGGGCTGGAACACCTCAGGAGGTGGTCTTTTAGAATGGGGGCCATGTCTGTTTCTGCCTCTGTAAGGTCTATTTGTGCCTCTGGGAGTATGATTTATGCTGCTCCGAGACCTATGTTTATTTGTATGTGGTCTATTTTTGCCCCTATGTGGTCTATTTATGTCCCTTTGTGGGTTATTTATGCCTCCATGGTGTCTCTCAATATCTCCTTCTTGCCTATTTGTTCCTGGCCCTACATGTGCTCCTCCTTGTTCAAATGGATGCAGCTGTCCTCCTGGGTCTGAATGTTTTGGTAGAAAGCTGCTTGATGCAAGAGGTCTTGGGTTATATCTGTGACCACCACCTCCACCACCATTGTTGTTAGTAGGATATATTTCTATATTTTTTGGGTTATATTGTGATCCATGAACAACCCTGTATTGGTGATCAATTGTATTCCAGTTATGTACAAGCTGAGCTGGATAGCCAATAAAGCCTACTGGCTCTATTGAAACTTTTGCTGCTGGGTGTAAAAAATGTGGCTTGCCATTAATTGTCTGATGAGCAGAAAAAGGTGACGTTTGCAAAGAAAAGCTTGTCACTGGATGTGGAATGTTTTGTAAACTATCTTGGCCTGAGAAAGACCCATGAGTTCCTTGATGGTCATTTAAAACAATGTCAGAAAGTTCATCGTCTTGTTTTTCAAACTGTGCAGCACTTTTTTCATCCAGGTTACCATTTTCATTCTCACTATACTTGTAGTAGTTACTGCTGTTTATGTTAGTATTCTGGGTGAGGATTTCTGAAAATTTCCTGATTTTAATTATGTATAGACATTTTATCAACAATTAAAATAACTACTCTAAAAATGGAGTTCAATCCAAAATGTACTTGCATGTCATATGTATTAATTATGTTGCTCTTCATTGGAAAGTGAATGTTGTATCTCACTACTTTTAATCAATTAGTTAACTTTAAGAACCTGAACCCCATGAATTAGTAAATATAAATCAAATAGTTTTAAGCTTTAAAATAAGGCGACCACACAATTTAATGACTTGTGAAAACTGATGCCTTAAATTACTAAACATAAAACATATAGAAAACATAACACAATTTATCATGCACAGGTTCATACGTAAATTTGCAAAATACATTACCATCTACTGTCTTTGGTTCTGTAACAGTTGTCAATGTTGTTGTTGTTGTTGTTGCAGGAGGTAGTGTTGGCACAGCCTTGACCTCCACTGCTGGAGCTGGTACTAGAGGAGAAATTATAAAAATCAAACTTTAAGTTATCACAAAATAAAGAGACTGTAGATGTAGACCTTTTTTGTCAACTTGAATCACCTTGGTTTCTTTGTGATGCAGAGTAGCTGTGCACTGTAAAAATAATGAGCATTCTTTTTCACTTAGTGAAATTCAAAGGGAGGGATGTCTCTTTTAAAGCTCTTTCACTTTTATCTTAAAATACTTATTTTCATTGGGTTGAGAATTCAATAGAATGATGGTTGCTAAGTAAAATAACCAAAATCAATAAATTTTGTATGATGTGAAATGTTGAGCCAACTGAATGAAAATTGCATTGAAATTGATAGTCTGTTATTAGTCCCTTCAAACATTCCTACCATGTACATTTTACAATACACTCATGTTCAAATGGTACCATAGCTATCATGACTATAAAAAAACTGAAATATTAATTGTGAAAGCTGTGTATATAGAACTTTATGATATAAAACAGATAACACAAAAAAGAGTACAAACAAGTTGGCCAGCTTTCAGCTGAATTTTTCACTGTTTGCATACACTGGCTTGTTTTCTCAGCCCTGAACTATTTTCAATACAGGATCCGGAGCAATGCATTCTCGACAATCTCTGGCACCAAGTGAGTAGGTATATACTGTAAGTGGATGAATGATTCACAATTTGCATTGTGGTGCTTGCAACCACTATTTTTATGTTTGAGCCATGAAATCATGGTTTGAGTTTTATTAGAAGTTTGCAATCACAAACCAGAGGCTTGAGAATGCCAAAGGCTGTTTCGTTTATAAGGCCTGAAGGTTAAACTTTACATCCTGTTTAAAGAGTTACTCATATGTGACAGACTGGGATGTACTATTCTTATTCTATTTTCTGCACAGCTGCTAAGTGACACTAGGGTGGGGCATTCAAATGTTCATGTGCTGCTTTCAGATGTCAGTTTAGAAATTAAGCTCACTAATAACAATGACATCTGTTTGATAAAATTACACTTTACATGCTTTAATCTGCCTGGTAGTAGGTTGGAAAGGGTAAAAGATTTTTGGGTTTATAATGTAAGCAAACACACACACACACACACACACACACACACACACACGACTTTCCATGCCTGAGATGTTAAATTAAATATTATCTTTATCAATATCAAAATATTCAGAGTAGCCAAACAGTCCTTCACATAACTATTAAGTTAATTTGATCCTGTAATGCATCAATAAACATATGAACAGCAGATTTGATATATAACAATTAAATGCACTCATTATTTATGTGATCAGTAAATTTTAATGGAAAAATGCAATATCAGAGAACTTCATGTCTCCCATCAACTAAACTCTAGACATAGGTAACAAGAACAATAATAGATGGTTTTTTGAATGGAAAATGATGTTATCCTCACTACCATGTGTTTTATCTCTGTTCTGTCTCTATGTCATGCTTACATCATAATAAAAAATTATCTGAGCATGCAGCAGATGACAGGCAGCATGTAACAGCTGCATGAAAACAATAAATCACAATTTATATTGTAAAAATACTCAGTGAAATACTATGCATAGATGTTTGAGTTTGGTAGATATAAAACCATCATATGACAGCATTTCTCTGAAAAAACATGAATTATAAAGACTGATAAATAAAAAGGACACTTGACAGCATTTTATTCCAAGACATTTTTTATTATCAATTATTTCTTCAAACTCTTCAAGGAGAATAAAAATTAAGACAAAGAGAACAAGCAGCAGCCCTCTAGTTTTTGCTCCTGAATGTTGGAAAATGCTTGAAATGGTCAATAAATCAAAGAAGATGAAAACTGATAGTACTTCTGATATAAAGATTTTTATGCACCATTTTTCTCTTGTGACAAAATAATGAAGAAACAATGTCTACTTTATATTTTCAGGTAAAAGATAAGAAATTTTGTTTCCCTTAGTGGGTCATCTGTCAACTGAAAAATTGTCTAAGCTCTATTTTTTCCATTTGTATTGTCATTTATATATGATAATAACCACAGATACAACAGTTTTACCATAATTTACCATGACATCAAATTTGAATTCCATGCATGCAAAAAGAGTGAATAATGACAACAATGTATAATCTGTTTTGTTTAACTATAAAATTATTTAAATCATAATGAAAAGTGATAAAGAACTTTATGCATCATTTTTCTCTTGTGACAAAAACATGAATAAACAAAGACAATTTTTTATTTTCAGGTGAAAGATGAGAAATTTTGTTTTCCTCAGTGGGTCATCTGTCACCTAGAAAAATGATATATGTCTCTTTTTTTCCCATTTGAATTGTCATTTATATATGATAATAACCTCAGTTACAACGTGATTGCCATAATCCCAGACTGGCCAGATTTGAATTCCATGTATGCAAAAGGAGTAGATGGTGAAAATCATTTTGATTTTTAAAACTATAAAATTATTAATCACTGTTCACATAGGTGGCAGTACATCTTCCCATATGTTAATTAAACATATGGCATGGCATAGTTTGGGGATTTTTTTCTTTTTGATGAGCTTGGATTCTGAAAGGCGGGGACAAAAACTGACTTAATTTAAATGTTAAGATATACTGCAAGTACTGCATGCATGAAAATGTACCATCAGCATTATACTGGAAAATAGTGTGAACAATATGCACTTCTGTTGTAGCCAACTTTTGAAACAACTTACTTTATTTGAATATATGAAAATTTGCAGAGTATTGAATTTTTCAACTTAACCAATGTTTCTGAAAATGTTATTATTAAAACCTGGTCAAATGATTTGGGCATAACATACATCAAATGCCTATGCCAGTTCCAGTCGTTCTAAACAGTAACTGTTATAATAGTTCACCTAACCTCAAATTTACTGAGATTAGGTGAACTAATATACAAGATGACTGCACTTGACACTGCCTGTTAACTGGTTTCATTTTGATTGGTCTGAGCAGCTGAAAGCAAATTTGTGAAAGGGATCAGTAACCCCATATAGCATAATTATATAATATTACATGTAAAGACCAGTCTAAGTAATTTGATAACGATATGTGTAACGCACATTGTGAAAAGAGCCATTGTCTTTTCAACGCATGCAATACCATCATGTTATAGCAAAGAAAATTGTTATGCATATACCGTACATGTTGTTGGACCAGTTAGTTCTGAGATCAAAAAGTTCTGCTTACTATCATACTTCATCTTTTATCTAAATCTTTCAGAAAACAATGTGTGTCTTATTTTAACTTCACATATAGGCCAAGTTAATTTCAATGAAGGCTTCCAATACACAGTGAACCAACTTGCCTACTTGCATCAATTTTGTTGGAAATGTGCGGAAAGATTATTTCTTCTCCCATTATAACATTAAACTTTGGGCCCACGGATATCAAATAAAGTTATTTTATCTTAAATAAGTGGGTTTCAGTCCAGAAGCCACCTTTAAAATGCCATAGCAAAAAAAAAAAAATAATAATAAATAAATAAATAAAAAATAAAAAAAGATGATTTTCTCTCTAAAAAATGTCAAGTTTCATATAACTATTAAATAAAACTGGGTATTTGAGAAACAGTGTACATTCCCAGAAATATTATACAATTTTACTCTTAAACAAAAATTTTCACATTTATACATTGACCCTGTCAGGGGCTTGCACACTTGCACTTAAGACATGAAAGACATGACTGTTTTTTAATGGTTAGGATGTATATATATAAAACAAGTGTGTGTGTGGTACAGAGTGATCAACTGTCTGGAGCCTTTATGCACAATTAAAATTCATAAATAAATAAATAAAAAACACAAGACATGTATCAACCCCAACTCCAGAGTTTCACAGGCTCTCGCTCTCTCTCTCTCTCTCTCTCTCTCTCTCTCTCTCTCTCTATATATATATATATAAAAGAAAATGAGCAAAGTTAATCTGTTTTTTTCATGTTGAATACAGCCCTACAGTCATTTTGGCCCAGAGTAAACAAACAAGGCTTAAGTACACTACTCATTAAAATTAGCATGGAGAAGGAATAAATTTGATAGTGGGAATAAAGTAGTTCCCTCCACCAAACCTGAGCTGTATGTAACTGGTTAATTACAGGAAGCCACCATAAAAAGGACCGCAATAACAGTGATATTGGCTAAATGCATCCCTGAACATGGAATGGGAATTTAGCCAACAGGCACTGCAGTGAGATGCTGCTACCAATGAGAAAGTAGTCAGGTACTAGATCCACAATCATTGTTACTGCTTTTGGAAACCTACCTTGGCAACCTGCAGTGCTTGCAAATGTACACACTTTCGTTGTCTTGTCAAAATGGAGTCCATCTAAACATGGCTGCTGCCAACCCAAGCCATTGAAACACACTACATACTTGTCACAACCATCAGGGCTGGCAAACAGACCAATCTTGTTTTTGCAATAAACAGCTGGAAAGTACAAATCTTTTGATTAACAATTACTTAATAGATACATGTACACTACATAGTTTTGACTCTAGTTGTCTTATTCTGAATGTATACTAGTATGGATTTTTTCTCAGTGTGAAAGAAAATGATTTTCTTATTCTAACAAGTGAAAAGCAATGTGCTCATGGATGTCATCCAGAAAATTAGATCAGTGAGGCCTTAGGTTCAATAATACTGTTAATTTTTTCCTGTTTTTCAATTTATCAGCATCACTTAAAAGATTATTTATTGTTGAAAAAAGTTTATTAAAGTATTTGTATTTACCAATATTTACTGCTTCAACACTTATCCATGCTGTACATATGAACAGAATGAGAGCTATTAAGCTCCTGAAAAAATGAAAAAAACTTTATAGTTAAATGACAAGGTCATCTATTATGATAGCTCCATCATATCACTTTACATTTGCTTATCAATGGAAATCATCTGATATAGGCTAAAGTAAACCTGGCACTGTATGATGTCATTTGAAACTAAAAAAACTGTATAAGAAAGGCTTAACTTTTCAGCATAAATGATTAAACTCTATGTGCCAGAAAAGTCTTCTTAGAAACCATTGCAAAAGTGACATGGGCCATTCCGTGGTATTTTTTTGCCGTTATGGAAGGACATTTGACACTTCAAATGAAAATATTAAAAAAAGTAAAAAAATTTGGAAGGTCCATTTTTGGTATGTTTATTCCTCTATATATAAGTTATAATTAGGCAAAAAATTAGGTTTAAAAAAATTATAGTTACGAAAAAATTACAATAAATAGTTAGCATCTCGGAAGGACGTGAAATGGACATGGAATTTTAACTTTCAACTTCAACACCAAAATTCTGCTCTGTCTGTGGAGATATTTTTAAAGTCAATTCAAAATATGAATATTTGATTATTTTACTTTCCCAATATATAAAAAATTTTTTTGGAAAAAAAAATAAATTTGAAAATTTTGCATATAAAAAAATCAAGTAGGTGTTACAGAAGGAAGTGTCTCGGAAGGACATTTTGTCCATTGCTAAATAAAATGTAAAACAAGGCTAATAATAATATTTTATGAATACATACCAGCATAAATTCACATAAGTTTGATGGATAATATCAAAGGTAAACATGTCTTTCCATGGTAATATATTTCATCTTCAAACATGCTACTATTTTTTACTATAATATAAGTCCTCATTTGCTCTAATCATCTTTAAATAATATTGGGACATTTAAGAGAAAATCTTACCAAATTTATTAATTATAAATATAATCAGTTGTCTAAATTATAATAACTTCAAAATTATTCATTCAAATGAAATGTTTCTCAATTTAAAAATGCTTCTATATATAATAATTGTGCATTTAAAGTTCAAGATTATCTTCAAAGTCATAAGGGTTTAGGGCTCATTGGTCACATGACCTGTTATTGTCCAATCAAAATGCCTCATATGTGCTAGGTGTCATGTTTAATGCTTATAATTTGGATTTGATTTCTTATCGAAGTGGTTCTAAGCAAAAATGTTTTTGTATTTTGTTGGCCTATATCATGGTTGAGGAGAATATGAAGTTATAAGTTTTTAGCTTTTGTAGTTACTGAGAAAGGACAAATTGATATTAATTAATCCATAATTTTATAATCAAATATTTTTTTATCTAATGCACTTGACTTAATGTAAGAAATAAGTTATATTTAATGTATTTAGCCTTTATTGTTTAAAATGATGACTATTATGAAAAATATATCAGAAATAAAAATGTCCCTCCGTAATACTATTTTATAAGTTTTCAAGATAAAAGTGTCAATAAAATCATAATTAATCATCAAAACCTAAAATTTCTTTTGGATTCTGGTCTCTTAAGGTGTCTGGTTTCAGAAAATATAACTTTTATAAGTAGGATTCTTTTTTTTAATTTTGAGGTCTGCGGACCAAATACCACGGAATGGCCCACATCCAAAGCATGAAGATTTGTACTGTTGTGCAATATTAACTTGATAGAATTTATGAGAATACAACGAGAAAAATATACATGTCTCTGAATGAATCCTGTTGGCTTTTATTTCTTAGACGGACAGCAACTGCCAGTCTGCCATCATTTCTGACCATACTCTGGACAGATTTTATTCTAAGACCCCATTCCCAGAGATTAGATTGATCCAAACTAGATCAACCTAACTCCCTGGGGGTTCACGCTAAATAGCTGTCAGCCGAGCGGGCACGAAAGTTAATTACCCCTTACAGCTTGTAGTAGGCAGGACGGACATTTAAGCCGGATTATCTGACAGTAATCTAGTGAGACTCCCCACGAGGATAGATTGATCTAAATGTCTGGGAATACACCCTAAGTCATGACATTTAGGGTTATCTGGGGTGACTTATAAAGCCTTAAATCTCCTTGTATGTTATAAACAAATGAGAAGACATTACCTCAAGATGAGAGCATTGCATGACAGGAACCAGTTAAATGGAGATGATCACTGATGACCATCTTTTACTGTCCATGTTTGTCCCTTTCTATTGAGGACATCTCAATAGTCTAAAGGTTCATTGGTCCAAAAAATGGTAACATTTTCATCGGTTTTTAAATCAAGGGTTCATTGGTCCAAAGGTTCTCTAGTGAACATTCAGACCAATGAACCTTCAGACTATTGAACCCTACTATTGCTAAGGCCCCTTTTAGTTACACAAATTATCCTCATTGTGTTCAGTGTCAATGTCAAGTTTACTTACATTAAAAAGTATCATAGAACCACTTTTTGAACAAAGAAAATGCTGATATCTATAGTGATATGCACTAAACATGTTTAGTAAATCTGATTTTCCATCCAAAATCTAGTAAAATGATAACAAGCCATCTCACTTATTAACTCCCAGTAACTTATCAACTTTCATTTTCTCAGTGGACTATCAAATCCAAAACTGTACAATATCAATATATCATATCCTTCTTCAACATCTTACCAGCTTTGGATAAATTTTGTGAAAATTCCATGAAAAAACTGGCATATAAAATGAATTACATGGTTTGAGTTTTCTGAAAGTTGTAAAACTTTATAATTTATTTACTCCAAAACCCTAACTTGAGAATATATACCAGTGTAATGTACAACATTTTTTTCTTTTTTCTAAATTGAGTTTTCATTTTTTTTTTAAATCAGGAGGAAATAACTGAAAATTATTTGTCACTTTTGCTATTTTCCATCATTCTCGCTAATGCCCATCCTATTTTACAGCAAACGAACAGTAGACTATAGCTAACTCACCTTACATATATGGTGCCCATCCTCACTCACTGCCAGAGAGTAATGGTGACAACTTCAACTAACTGACAACAAAAATCTCATCTCCTCCCTTTGTGACTTACCATATATTGGCTGCCCATCCCATGGATCCAATCAGTCGCCTAAAAAATTGCCTGCTTTCTGTGACACCAGGCATGCAAGCCAAGCAGGCCAATACAGGACAGGTGTTGTTGTATAGCTCTAAGCAAGGAAACTGCGTAGCTTTTATGGCTTGACCTGGTGGATGCGCTGTGTACAGAGTCATCAAAAGTCTGTGAATGTTTTTAACTGCAATACTTGGCATCTAACAATTAAGTCTCACAGTGAGGTTAAGACCTTAATATAAGTAAAAAAATATTTTCCAAGAAATTTCAATGCATTTCCCTTTATACCATCACCATACTATACCATATCCAAAAACAAGAGTTGGAAAACTAATTTACAGATAATTATTTTCCCAATGGATTTTAGTGATATTAAGAAAATTGCTGAAATTTCTAAGAAAAAAAATTTTCATTTTTTTCTTTACTATATAAATGTAAAACATGCATTGTATTATAATTTTTTGTGTTATGGACATCTTTATTAAAATGCTATTATGATTACAGGGAAAACAACTGTGTATTTTGGCCAAAAATGAATTTTTTTGAGGTAAAGGACAATTTTCCCATCCTCACCAATGGTATATGAATCCACTCCCACATTTAAAATTAGTCCCTGTTTTTTTCTAAAAAGTTTGTTTTTTTCTGTAATAATCTCTTAAGAGATTATTACAGAGTGTTGCCATCTATGGAGGTCACGTGATGTGATGGCAAGGACAGATTCCAAAATAATTGTGTTAACTGCTGTTTTGGGAGTAAAATAGAATTCACTGTATTTCTACGAGTTATTTACAATATATTTATTGTGAAATACAGATATCTTACGAACAGTTGTTATCCCTTTAATAATATAATGAACTGCAAATGTATGCTTTTCTAAAAACTGTCAAGTTGACTTTGCAACAGAACTCTCCTCCCAACCACTCACACACACACATTTTTCACATTGGGTGGCTAAAAATATTAATCGTGAATATTTTGAGAGATAAATACTATCTGTCAGAATCATAAATATTATATGTCAACATTTCCAAGAAGTTCAAAGAGACTAACACTATGTATTATGCAAGAACCATATTTTGAAGAACTTATTGAAAAACAACAAAAACGAAAAGAAAACTACATGATTATGGCAACCATGATTACCTACAACTTACAAATCACTCACACTCTGAGTCACAAAGAAAGGTATACGCACACAATTAAAGTTCTATATAACTTAAACACAAGTGCTTTACTTTTTGATACACCCTGTACTTATCCAGAATGCTTTGACAGACACCATATTGCTGCAGCATGACCATGAACCCTCTGTTGACAAGCACATATAAACTCCTCCCATTTTTATATGCCGTTATAATTTTTTTTATACAGATAATCATCAAAGCAGAATTTTAATTTTCTTTAAGGATTTGTACTAAATAAATTTTGGTGAAATCTCTTGTCATAATCATTATGGCCTATCACATCAGTATCTATCAAGAACAATACAAAACGTTGTCTACTGTTACATTTATACCTCTGGTTGTCAGAGTGAAAGTATACGCTATTTGTAGGAACTGAGGTAGAACATTTATGGAAGAGGACAGATTGTTACCACAGGTGGTGAAGAGTTTGGCTTAAATACAGTTCACTCAATGATATCCTTAAAAATTGTATTTTAAAACCACTGTCATGTCCATGTGAAATATATTGTGCAGTACAAACTTTACTTCAGAAATAAGGTTTTGCTAAGAGTTGTGAATTCATATTTAAAAACATCAGTAGATTTATTGTTCTTATGGTAACATTTTATTTTATTTCTCTTTTCCTTGAATAATGATACTAGTATTTCAAACCTTAAGAAAAGGAATACCATAGAACAGGTTGTACTCATCAGCATAAATATCCAAAATGGAAATGTATCAAATTTAACCTATATTTTTAGACTAAATGGTGCTTGTTCCATGAATAAACTGTTTAAAACTATAACTAAACTTGCATAACAATTTAGTCCAAAAGATAGCAGTGTGTCCCTCTCAGGGACTTCATTGTCAAGGAAGCATACAGAGTATTGGCAGGGCAGAGAAGTGGGTCCTTAATCGACAGGGGGATTGACATAGAGGATCTACAGTATCAGGCCTACCCAACTACCAGACTCGGCACCGAATAATCCTGAATTCACCGGTAAATCGGACCACACTACCCGTTTTCAAGGTGTGTATCAGTACACATTTCACAGAATCAGACGCGACACCGCTCTTGCCTAGTACGCGATGTGATAGTGACGATTCTAAGCGGGGTTGAAAAGCATTGCATCACTACTCAAAATTTGTTCAGGGTATGATACTGTGTAATGTGATCTGACACACACCTTGAAAACGGGTAGTGTGGTCTGATCTACCGGTGAATTCAGGATCATTCGGTGCCGAGTCTGGTAGTTGGGTAGGCCTGAGTATACCTCCCCAGGGCATGAGACAAGGTGACCTGCCATGCAGATTGCATGACAAGACTGAGAATATACCCTGATGAAGTCTCCTTCAGGGTGATCAATTAGACTAAATTGTTTGTCCAGTAATTATTTAAAACTTCCTTTAAATGTAAAATAAGACTTTATGACTATCCTACATCATGAAAACTCCATTTACCCTAGACAGTAATAAACTAACAAGGAAATGTACTATTTAGTGTAAATATCCTTAATGGCACACTCCATGGACAGCATGTTCAGGAGTACAAGACCAATGTCTTAATTCCCATCTGGGAGGCTGTACTGGTACATCAGTCAAGCCCATTTGCTCGATTGCTCAACACTTGTAATTACCAAATGGCTGATAAAGTAACAAACAATGTTGGCAGAAAAGTAAATGCAATGTCAGAAAGGACAATCATAATCTATAAAATTTATGGAGAAGATTTTATCAATAATGATTTTATCAAAATTTTGATATGACTTTCAAACACTGCCACAAAGCTGACACCCAAGGGGCTTCACAAAAGAACTAAATACAAGGCTAATCTTATAGACCAAAATTTTAGTCTATGGGGCCATTCAGAATGAGAAGAGCTGAGTGCTAACTGGTCCACGTCCTAAATATGGAAGACCTACATGAAAGGAAGACCCCTTAATCCTGTAACGCCTCCCCATGAACTGAGCCAAAATTTGATTACTGTGCCCCTGCAGGGACAACGCGGGGAGGCATAAAAGAGGCGGATAGACCATTACAGGATTAAGTGGTCTTCCTTTCAAGTATATCCGCCATATGTAGGCCATGGACCAGTTAGCACTCGGATCTTCTCATTCTGGCCCCTATTTTGACCCAAGACATACAAGTAGTAGTCCAATTAAATAGAAGTTCATGTGCATTTAATTATAAGAAAGATATGGCATATATTTTAGCTAAACCAATATTTACTGCAAGTACTACTTAAAGTTTGGCCCAATATTCTGGCTGAAGTTCTTTGGTGAAACCTGCTCCTGTGAAAACCGTAGACCTAATTTATATGCACTTCCCTTGGTATTATGAGCGTATGTCTCAGCTTGGGTTCATTTGTCCAAGAGTAGTGTGAGTTTTGACAAATAAAGTAAGTAGATGTTGAAGTTCAGAGCAAAGGCAATGAAATTATTTTCTTTTCCGTAGCTACTGATTTATAACCATATCACAAAAGTATCTGTATCACATACAGAATATGTGTATAAAGTTTTATATTCTATGGAGAATTATAAAAACCTTCCCAAGGACTCACTTCCATTTCATTTTCTTACTTGTCATAAAAAAAAAACACAGCAAAAATATGATTCACAGATAAATCTGGAACATTCCTCATCAGCTCTTATCAAGGCTCTTGGCCAGAAACTTCAAAACTGCAAAATATATGCTTGCCTTTAGCAAATGGCGCCTATATACAGATGCAATAATGTGCCTAGTTTGCCACAAGCCATTGGCAAGTACAAACACAGCATAACTGTAACAGCCATTGCACGCCTAACCTTTCCCACTATCCAAAAACAATAACACAATTTTATGATTTCACAAAGTGCTCCTAGCTGGACTATAATGACATAACGGCACCGCTGTTACATTTATGGCACACATGATTTTATACCCCACCTACTGATGTGCAGGAATTACACAACCTACGCAATAGCTCTTGTCCTGCTCCTTCTGAAAGTGTGCCAAGAATTATGCATTCACAAAAAGGCAATTACATAACAAGAGTGATAATTTCCTTTCAATTGCAAATTTGAGAATATTTTTTCATGCAGCTGAAGTGACATGTACATTTACCAAGTCAACAGGAAAAAGCATATTGACTATAATATCAATTCAAAAGTTAAACATATTTATATGTATAAGAAGTTCATACAGCAAAATACTCCACAATATATGGACTTAAATTGGGCTTTCTTTATCAATACCTGGTCAATTTTACCTTTTACTATTATAAAAATATATTTATTAGTCTTGTCTTGAAGGGTCTTAAAACTCAGTGCTCTTTTTTGTGCTGGAGATTCTTTTACAAAAAAGACAATTTAAATTGCCAATCACACTGATAAAGAAATGTCAGTCCTCTACACCTTTATGATACTTTTAAATGATAAATTCAAACTATGATTCCTTTTTCAATCTTACCCAAAATAAGAACCCACCTGACTGAAAGAAAATAAGAAAAAAATCTTTTTCTTTTTGCAGGTGGCCAAACACATGACTGTATTGCTTTTCATTGTGTGAATTTCAGTATCTAAAATCTAAACTTCCCTTAACATGAAATAATCTCATCTCAGAGACACTTTTAAATTGGAAATGAAGGGCCATTATTTGAATAAAATGTAATGTAAATCTGTCTGTAACTTTTATGTGTAGGATCAGGCAGACATTTTTGTACAATTTACAATTAATGCATACACATAAACCATTATTGCTAATGATGGAATCTTGTGGTCTTTTATACAGTCACAACTGATTTGTGCTTTTTTACCTTTTCATCTTCATTGAATTTTTCTCTTCAACACCTGCTATATCTACTTCGAGATCTAGTCTAAAGGCAAATATAAAGAAACCACCACAAATCCTTTTATAATAACTGTTGTTGCCCTTAAGTAAGATAAATATAATTTTTTTTAATGGGAGTGTCCCAGGCACAGTGTTTAAAATACATCCTATTATCATTTTCCATACGTCATACTTCAAAAGTCATGCTACTGGTCATAGACAGAGCCTAGCATTGTTCAAAAGAGCATTTGATAAAAATAATTTTTAAATAAAAAAATATTCAATGCATTGAACACTCCATAGCAAAAATTTAGTATCTTTTCAGGTGTGTTCTCTACTACTTGTCCCATGACTTTTAGCTGGACCAAATC